CCATTTTTACCCCACATACAGATTGCAGAATCACATCGGTTACACATCCACAGTTTTACATAATGCCATATTAGTAACTGTTGTATTCTGCTACCTTTCTTATCCTCTACTATCCCCCCTCTCCTCCCCTCCCATCTTCTCTCTCTACCCCATCTACTGTAATTAATTTCTCTCCTTGTTTTTTTCCCATTCCCCTCACAACCTCTTATATGTAATTTTGTGTAACAATGAGGGTCTCCTTCCATTTCCATGCAATTTCCCTTTTCTCTCCCTTTTCCTCCCACCTCATGTCTCTGTTTAATGTTAATCTTTTCCTCCTGCTCTTCCTCCCTGCTCTGTTCTTAGTTGCTCTCATTATATCAAAGAAGGCTTAGACGAAAGAAATTAAAGGCATAAAAATAGGAAAAGAAGAACTTAAATTATCACTATTTGCGGACGACATGATTCTATACCTAGAAGACTCAAAAGGGTCTACAAAGAAACTACTAGAACTAATAAAATGAATTCAGCAAAGTGGCAGGATATAAAATCAACATGAATAAATCAAAGGCATTTCTGTATATCAGCGACAAAACGTCTGAAACGGAAATGAGGAAAAACACCCCGTTCACAATATCCTCAAAAAAAATAAAATATTTGGGAATCAACCTAACAAAAGAGGTGAAAGATTTATACAATGAAAACTACAGAACTCTAAAGCGAGAAATAGAAGAAGATCTTAGAAGATGGAAAAATGTACCCTGTTCATGGATAGGCAGAACTAACATCATCAAAATGGCGATATCACCAAAAGTTCTCTATAGGTTTAATGTAATGCCAATCAAAATCCCAATGGCATTTCTTGTAGAAATAGATAAAGCAAACATGAAATTCATATGGAAAAATAAAAGACCCAGAATAGCAAAAGCAACTCTAAGCAGGAAGTGTGAATCAGGCGGCATAGCGATACCAGATTTCAAACTATACTACAGAGCAATAGTAACAAAAACAGCATGGTACTGGTACCAAAACAGGCGGGTGGACCAATGGTACAGAATAGAGGACACAGAGACTAATCCACAAAGTTACAACTATCTTATATTTGATAAAGGGGCTAAAAGCATGTAATGGAGGAAGGATAGCATCTTCAACAAATGGTGCTGGGAAAACTGGAAATCCAAATGCAACAAAATGAAACTGAATCCCTTTCTCTCACGATGCACAAAAGTTAACTCAAAATGGATCAAGGAGCTTGATATCAAATCAGAGACTCTGATAGAAGAAAAAGTTGGGTCCGATCTACATACATATTGTGGGGTTGGCAACAGATTTTTCCTGCTTACTTTGATTCATTTTCTCATGCAGTGCTAAGGGTAAGCCCTTGTGACTATGTTTACTTTTTACTTTTGGATCATCTGGGAATAAGATTTTTTAATTCTAGGGCCTGGGATGGTGGCTTAGTGGTAGAGTGCCTGTCTAACATGTGCGAGGGACTGGGTTTGATTCTTAGCACCACATATAAATAAATAAAATAAAGATTCATTAACAACTAAAAAAATAGAAAGATTTTTGAATTCTAGGGATAATTTTAAGGAAATGATCCTCATTGTTAACCTACGTAATATGCCAAGTTCAACATCTGTACTGAAATGATTTCCTAGTATCTGGTGGTTGTAATACCAAAGCAAAATGACTACTTTGATAGTTTTACATTTATTTTGTGTAATGCCAAACTATTTTTGTTTTAATTAGATACACATGACAGTACAATGATCATGACATATCATACATTTGAATCAGATGGGGTATAATTTCTCATTTTTCTGAGTGTACAGATTGCAGAATCACATTGATCATGCAGTCATGTATATTAATGCCAAACTATTTTGTAGAACATAGAATTCATGCTATTTTGTAGAATACAGAATTCATGAAAAATGCTTAAATCCACTAATTAATAAAATGCATTCACATACAAATCTATGTATATAATTGAAAATATAATAAAGATTAATTTATTGAAATACACATTATTATGGAAATATAATTAAAATATTTGTAAATGGTACTTATAAATGGTACTTCATAAACATGAAGGAAATTTAATCATTAAAAAACAAAGTGAAAGATAACTTGCTTTTAGAAAGTATAATCTTAAGAAAATGGGTGTCAGTGATAACGTTAATCATGAGGTTTTTCTGTAGGGAATTCCCCTAAACTCTTTCCCAAAACTTCTCTTTACAATGAAGTAGGAATATTGTGGCATTAGAAGAAAATATTGGGCATTAATTTATAACTCACTCATTATGAATGCTTCTGGATTGATACTCTTGAGGTATTTTGAATAATTTATGTATAGGAATTATATTTTCATTGATAATTGTAATTTTAAAGAGAGCATTCTAGTTTGTCTCAGTTTTATATATAGAGATTTTAAAAAAATATTTATTTTTTAGTTATAGGTGGACACAATACCTTTATTTTATTTTTATGTGGTGTTGAGGATTGAAGCAGTGCCTCATGTATGCTGGACTAGCACTGTACCTCGGAGCCACAACCCCAGCCCTTTTTTTTTTTTTTTTTTAATTTTTTATTGTTGGCTGTTCAAAACATTACATAGTTCTTGATATATCATATTTCACAATTTGATTCAAGTGGGTTATGAGCTCCCATTTTTACCCCATATACAGATTGCAGAATCACATCAGTTACACATCCATTGATTTACATATTGCCATACTAGTGTCTGTTGTATTCTGCTGCCTTTCCTATCCTCTACTCTCCCCCCTCCCCTCCCCTCCCCTCCCCTCCCCTCCCCTCTTCTCTCTCTGCTCCCTCTACTGACATTCGTTTGTCCCCCTTATATTATTTTTCCCCTTCCCCTCACTTCCTCTTGTATGTACTTTTGTATAACTCTGAGGGTCTCCTTCCATTTCCATGCATTTTCCCTTCTCTCTCCCTTTCCCTCCCACCTCTCATCCCTGTTTAATGTTAATCTTCTTCTCATGCTCTTCGACCCTACTCTGTTCTTAGTTACTCTCCTTATATCAAAGAAGACATTTGGCATTTGTTTTTTAGGGATTGGCTAGCTTCACTTAGCATAATCTGCTCTAATGCCATCCATTTCCCTGTAAATTCTATGATTTTGTCATTTTTTAATGCAGAGTAATACTCCATTGTGTATAAATGCCACATTTTTTTTATCCATTCATCCATTGAAGGGCATCTAGGTTGGTTCCACAGTCTAGCTATTGTGAATTGTGCTGCTATGAACATCGATGTAGCAGTGTCCCTGTAGCATGCTCTTTTTAGGTCTTTAGGGAATAGACCGAGAAGGGGAATAGCTGGGTCAAATGGTGGCTCCATTCCCAGCTTTCCAAGAAATCTCCATACTGCTTTCCAAATTGGCTGCACCAATTTGCAGTCCCACCAGCAATGTACAAGTGTACCCTTTTCCCCACATCCTCGCCAGCACTTGTTGTTGTTTGACTTCGTAATGGCTGCCAATCCCTTGAATAGAGAGATTTTAAGAGATTTCAGTATATGTATTGAGTTATCTATCTGGTTCAGTTCATGTTCCACTTGTTTGCAACTCTTGAACTAGAGCAAGAATTAGGGTTGTAATAAAGTATTTGATTGTCAGTTGTTATTTTTCTCTCCCCTGAGAATTATGGACCATTTTCTAATAAGCACATCTTTATTTTGAATTATTATTTTTTAAAGAAACATCTAGCTGGGGATGAGTCTGACTGTGCCGCTGTGTCTGATTGTTTTGAGATTTTATTGCAGCAGATTGCTTTCTGGATAAAGAACAGTTTTCTTCAAATTATTTTCATCATAAACTTCATACTTCAATTTATAGTAAGAAGATTTATTAACAATTTATTTTGGTAGCCAAGATGACATCAGGGCACTATGATAAAACATGTAATAAAAACTGACTTTTCTGTGTGTTGCCTATTGTGTTCTGCACAGTTTCAGATCTATCTATTCCTATGTACTTTGTAAAATTGAGCAATTGCATCATTGATTTTAATGAAAATGATTTTTAAAACTGAAATATTGGCATATTAGAAATTTTAAAAAGCATGTTTTGGAGTATTGAAATCTGGAATAGTCATTAATTGTTAGGATATATAGGTAAGGGGGAGAGAGTGCTAGTTACTTAGAAGTTTAAGGATTTAGAAAGTTTGAGTCCAGTACTGAGATTTTTAATTTATGTTATAGAAAGTGTCTGTTACTAATGAACCTATCTTGTAAATTGGTCTTTTTCATTATAGCAGAAGATTAACAATTGTATTTTTTTTTCTAATATAGGTGAAACTTTGTCTCCTGTTCAAGTGAATTCTTAGTTTTTTTTTTTAAAATTAATTTCTTCCTTCCTCCCTCCCTCCCTCCCTCCCTCCCTTCCTTCCTTCCTTCCTTTTGTCAGTCTTAGGTGAATACAATATCTTTATTTTATTTTATTTTTTATGAGGTGCTGAGGATCGAACCCAGTGCTTCACATGTGCTAGGCGAGCACTCTACCACTTGAGCCACAATTCCAGCCATATTTATTTTTATGTGGTGCTGAGGATCGAACCCAGGAACTTGCAAGTGCTAGGCGAGCACTCTACCGCTGAGCCACAACCCCACCCCCATAAGCCACAATCCCAGCCCCGAATTCTTAGTTTTAATTGCTGAATATTTTGGGGGCATCCTGTAATTTAAACTTAATGACATATACAAAATGAAGCATACTCTGATCACATCTTTTCCTTTAGATCTTTTTCTTCTCCTTTTGATTACATTGAATTCATTGAGTATAGTCCTCTGAAAAGCATGTACTGTTCATTAGAATGAATCTATAGTTAGAAATATTAATATATAGACATTTTAATATGTGGTCATTTTCAACTAATAAAATACTGGTGGACATAAGGTCTTTTAAATGATTGTGAAAGTTAATGGTCAATAATATGCTGCTTAGTTTTGATGTGTTAGCATCGGTCTTATTTATAGATTTTTCTTCTCTTTATTAGGCAAGAAGTTATGAAATGGAATGGATGGGGATATAATGATTCCAAGTTCTTCTTCAATAAGAAGGGTGAAGCTGAGTTGACTGGGAAAAGGTAATCCTGTTTGTTTATTCCTTTCTTTCCTTCTTTCCCTTTTTCTCTCTACAAAAAATTTTAAACATAAAAATAGAAAAGATAGTATAATGATCCTGCCTTCATTTAAAAATTATGAGCATTTTGCAATAATTCCTTCCTTTTTTTTCTATATTTTTAATTCTGACATTATGTCTAAATATTTATATATGCATCCTTTAAAAAAATAAGGACCTAATACTATAGGTCACACTTCCAAGATAGCAAACATTTTATAATAATATCTAATTATTCAGTCCATATTAACATTCCCCTAAATTGTCTCACAAATTCCTTTTGTAGGTAGTTTATTTGCCTCTGAATCCAAACAAGGTCTTCAGCCATCTTACCACCCAATCAATATCCATGCCATTGATTTATTAAAAGTAACTTCATATTTATTATTCACATCTCTGTATGGGTTATAATGAAAAGTAATAATTTTAGGTCTGTGCAAATATAAATGCTATTTAAAAAATGAATTTCTGAGATATATTGGGGAGAAATGATGAAGAAAGGTCATTTTTATGACAGTTTTCACATTTCTGAAACGTTCTGGTAATATGTTGATGAGAATTATTAAGGATATTTGTTCAGTCATACCTCAGAAGAATTCTAAAGGATATTTGTGTTGTTAAGTGTTTATTTTAGAGGTAGAGAGAATTGTGAAATGTCTTCTTAGTTGACTTTAAACAACACTGCTCCTACCAAAACTGTATTAGTTTGTTTTTGAATTTTTATGTAACTTTTGAAAATGCAGTGAGTATAAATATGCACTATGTGAATGCTGGTTTTAAAAAAATAAATATGGAGACTAAGTGGAAAAAAATGGGATTAGATGTATTATTAAAATGTCAGTAAAGGAAGTAAATTTTATTGTTTTTTTTTCTTATTTATTTATTTATTTTTAGTTGTCAGTGTACCTTTTTTATTTTATTTATATGTGGGGCTGAGGTTCAAAGGTTCAAACCCAGTACCTCACACACGCTAGGCAAGCGCTCTATCACTGAGCTACAACCCCAGCCTGTTTTTTTTTTTTTTTTTTTATGAAGTTATTTCTTTTCTTTGCAACATAATTGTAGTGCTGGTCTATTTTTTGACTTCTCTATATTCTGTACCTGAAGTAAAACATCAGGAGTAGTAAGTAGAAACTAATTTTCACGAAGGTATGAAGAAGTACATTTACATTAGCTTTTTAATAGGAAAAATAAACATCTGTGTTCTCATTTTTATTCTTAAATATAACTGGGCAGCATGCAGATAGAGGCTTACTTGAGAACTTATGTAATTCAGGTAGAAAAAGGGATTTCTTGTTAAAGTAAATTAACCAGTGTTCTTAATCTTGAGTTTTTATGTTTTAAATAGAATAATGTCTAATATAGTAGAAACCTACCTAGATTTTCTTCAAAATCTTTTGGAGAAAGATTTTGAAGATTTTTTTCAAAATCCTTTGGAGAAAAAAATAAATTTTCTAAACTTAGAAAACCAACTTTATTTTCTTTTAAACACCTCCTCATTTTTCTCTCTGTCTCTTTGAACCTGAAGGTACATTATTTCTATTGTATGGGAGGGGGCATGTTGTCATTTGTGTTGCAGCATAGTGCCATTTAAAGCATAAGACTCCTGGAGCCTTCTGTTGAGTACTGTAGGTAATGGAGTGGTTTATATTAGAAATGTATGTGGGTATGTGACGTAATTAGTCACAGAAAACATCACAGGTAACTGCCTTAGTGGATCCCATGTTTAGCATCTGGTTCTTATTTTAGGTGTTCTGGCGCTTGGTTTGTCATTTTTCCCAGGGGAGATCAAGCTGTGGAGACTTGACACATGGACCACACTCATGAGAGAGATTTTAAAAATTAAACCCCAGTGTATTCATTGATGGTTTGATTATTCCTATACTTGTTTCTGCCCTTTCTTAGTTAAAGTATCTAGAGAACAAAATTTGTAATTCAATTATTGTTAGAAGAGCAAAAATTAAGAGCAAAAGGGATTTCAGTGACCCTGATAGACATTTTTGTCCAGGCAGTAACAGAACCAGATAATTTATCTGTTGGGTTTACACACAGGAAGATTGTCACTACTGCCAGTCTTAATAGAAATGATTCTTTAAAGGCATCATTTCTTTGTGTCATTTCTCAGTGAGTCAGAGTTCTTGGGGGAAAGGAAGAATAAGGGTACATCTAACCGTAAGAGCTTGCAAGGAGACCAGGAAAGTGAATATCTGGTGTATGCATGTAAGTGGAAGGTAGCTCTTGCCTCCCTCCAAGACTTATGCAAAGGGTAATTCCCCGAGCATAAAAGTGAAATTTAGACAACCTAAGATGAAATGTGTAACACACAACAGTACTAAAATTAAGTAACTAAATAATAGTCAATTCTCATTTTGGTGCTTCAGGGAACACCTTTATCTTTTCACAGACAGGATAATAAAGTGAATTGAATTCAGGCATAACTTTCTCTAAGTCTAGTCGAGTTTCCTGAGGATAATGGGTGAATCATTAGATTTCTCTGGTATCAGAAAGTGTTGCAAATTTCTTTCTTTCTTTTTTTTTTTTTGGTAGTGCTGGGAATTGAACTTAGGGCCCTGTGCATGCTAGGCAAGTGTTCTACCATTCTGTTTGTTCTCTCTACTGGAATAGTGACTACTAGAATCTCTTTTTTTCCCCCCTCCATTAAAAAACACACACACAGAACAAAAGTAGCAATAGGAGGACATAAACTACCATCTTGGAAAAAATTAATTTGATATTACCTCATACCACATACACAGATTATTTTCAGATAGAATGTAGACTTAAATGTATAAGCTAAAACTGAAACTGCTAGGAGAATATACAGAATTCTTTCTGAGTTTGAGGTTTTCGAAAAGCAGAGAACAAAGAATATTAACTAACAAAGGAAAAAAATAAACAACATTAAAATATAGAATTTTTTTATCAAGACTCTAGTAATAGAGAGTGAAAATGTAAATCATAGAGTATGATAAAATGTTTAATACATATATTCCTGATTTCATAATATGTAGACAGTTCTGGTACATCAATAAGCAAATAATAATAACCCAAAAGAAAAATGACCAAAAAACTTGAACTGGCATACAAAACAAAGAATATCTGAAATGAGATACCAACAGAATGTTTGAGAGTTTCAATTATAGAATTTCTGTTTTGTTATTTATTATAATTTTTATTTCTATGCTGAAATTTCTGTTCCTTACTGGGAGCATATTTTTTTCTTTGGTCCTTTAGCCAAGTTGTTATTAGCTGCTTTAAAATCCTTGTGTGCTATTTCCAGTATCTTGGATCATCTTTGGGTCAGTTGTCATTATTTCTTTTTTCTTTTGCTGATGGATCACATTTTCTTGTTTGTTCATGTTTAATAATTCTGGAGTGAGTCTTGGATGTTGTGATTGATATGTCCTAGAAACTCAGGATTCTTCTGGACTCTGTTATATTCTGCCATAGAGACTTTTAATTTTTTTCCCCCTAAATCAAGCATTTAGTTTGACTGATGTCAGACTCCAAATACTGCTCCTCTGAATCGATAAACAATTATGTTGTCTTTTCAGTTCTTTTAAGCTTATCTGGGGTGTTTATAAGACTCTCATACATATTCTACCCATGTATAATTCAGGGTCAGCCAGATGTTTGGACAGAGTTGAAACATAGGTCCCTCCTATAGGTTCTGTGATTTCTCTGTATGCTTTCCAGATGGCTGCGTTTACTACAAACACTCCCTTCTTCTGCTTCTTTAAGCTCTTTTTAAAAATTTTTTGTTACCTCAACAGCTGTAGCTCTCCCCATTGTCAAAACTGTTTAAAAAGCAAAGCAAAACTGGATATTTACATAGTGCTTTTTCCTTCTTCCAAACGTAGCATACCTACTTTTGTTCCATCTATACCGTCTTCAGATAGCTAGGTTTATTTTGTTTTTGTTTAGAGTTGATAGTTATATGTTGGAGGGTTAGTTTGATAGGAACTATTTGACCATTACTAGAAGCAGAATCTAAGCTTCAAATTTAAATGGAGATACCTTACTCTAAAATTTTATCTTCTTTGTATCTTAGGTACCCTCTTAGTGGCTTGACTTTACCAACTCTTAAGGAATGGATCCAAAATACACTTGGAGTAAGTCTGGAACATAAAACTACCTCTAAAGTAAGCAAATAAGAATAATTACTAACTTCCTTAACTGTTTTTTTTTAATCCCAAATTAATTAGATTTATCTTTGTAATTTGTTGTGTTTGCTTTAATACAGTTATGGTTTCTTTTTTATGAAGCCCATTAATTATATAGGTCTTGTCAGGTTTTGTAGAAGGAGTTTTTTCTCATAGTGTCTAGATTCTAAATTTCAGAATTTAAGAATTATTTGACTAGTTTTTTTCTCCTTTCTGAGTTTTGATTATTTTTAATTTAAGAAGTGGGAGTAATAACTGTTATACCTCTCACAGGGTGGTAGTATTGTACAAATTAGTTAATTCTGTGAGTATTTTATTATAGAAATGAAAGTTGCTGTTATTTTTATTTTTAAAATTTCTTTCTTTCTTTTTTTTTTTTTTAATAATGTTTTTTAGTTGTAGATGGACACCTTTATTTATTTATCTTTAGGTGGTGCTAAGGATAGAACCCGGTGCCTCACATGTGCTAGGTGGGTGCTCTACCACCGAGCTGAAATCCCAGCTCCTAAAATTTATTTATTTTTTTTGGTTCCAGGGATTGAACCTAGGGTGCTTAATCACTGAGCCACATCCCCAGCCCTTTTTATGTTTTAAATTTTAAGACAGGGTCTCTGTAAGTTGTGAGGGGCCTTGCTATAAGTTGCTGAGACTGGCTTTGATTTTATGATCTCTTGCCTCTGCCTCCTGAGCTACTGGAGTTACAGGTGTGTGCCACTGTGCCCAGCTAAATTGCTGTTATTTTTAGATAACAAAATAATAGGCAGTAATCTATGATATATAGAATAAAATAAAATTGTTATGTTATACTTAATAGTAAACATTTAGAATATTTGAAAAATTACCAAAAAACTTAAAAACTTAAAGATATGAATGACAGAGAATTTTAATTTGTTTGTGTAGTTTTTATTTTCTGAAAGATTAAAAAACTTTAAACTGGCCGGGCATATAATCTCGGCTACTTGAAAGGCCGAGGCAGGAGTATGGCAAGTTTGAGGCCAGCCTGGGCAATCTATTGAGATTCTGTTTCAAAAAAAAGAAAAAATGCAAGTATGTGCTTCAGTGATAAAGTGTTGCCATAGCGTGCACCAGCTCCAAGGTTCAATCCACAGTTCTACAAAGGAAAAAAAAAAAAAAGAAAAGAAAAAATCAATAAACTGTATACATAGGAAACCAATGAAATATTTATCACCTCTTTATATTGTTATTGTTATTAGTTTGCTATACCAGAGGTATTCTGCATGTCCCTCCAATTGGATATGAATTTCCTAAATATAGGGGCTTTGTCATTCATGATATTCTTCACTGTAACCAATATATTATTAAGTATTGGTAGTCAGTGGGTAATTGCTAGATTTATTTATAAATCTAGTTATTTTATTCTAGTGATTAAATGAGACTGCTGAACAAGCCATGCAACATGCCACATGCTTGTAATCCTAGCTATTCAGAGGCTGAGGCAGGAGGATCACACAAGTTCAAGACCAGCTTGGCAATGTAGTGAGAACCCATCTCAAAAATAAATAGAAAAGGCTGGGGATGTAGCTCAGTGGTAGAACTACATCCTGGATTCAGTCTTCAGTATTACTAAAATAAAAAAAAAAAAAGAAAAGAAAAGAAAAAGTGGGACTGAATAGCTAATTCCTGCCCCTACCAAACCAAATTATTTTTTCTTATGTCTCTTTTATCATCTCTTAAATTCTTTTTCTGTCTCAACTATTTGTGAATACTTTTTATCTTTGACATTGATATAACACATGGTATATTCAGATATATCACCACATTTCAGATACATTCCATTTTTATGCTTTTGAGCCCTTTTCAATTTTTAATAACTTAACTTATTGTTATTATTATTTTGAGGTGTTCTTTTAGTAATTTCCTTCTAGTACAGGATAAATTCTATGAGGTTCTTTTCTTTTTTTCCTATTTAACTCACTGCTATATCCCTAAGCTAGGTCCATGCCTAGCTTATAGCAGCTAGCAATCAGTATTTGTTATATGAATAAAATTCATAAGAGACCAGGAATATAGAAATATCATATGCTTTTCTTTATATATTCTTGTACTTTTTTCCCTGAATACTATATCATAGTTTTTTGTTTTTTAAGATTTGCTAGACATGCTATTAGGTTCTTTTCACAAAAATTAGCACGTTTAATCTGCTTTCCTCATAGTATTCTTACACATTTGGGGGTGGGTTTTTGTCAGCTTTTTTGTCACTGTGACCAAAAGACCTATCAAGAACAATTAGAGGAGGAAAAGTTTTTTAGGTTCACAGTTTCAGAGGTATCAGTCCATAGAGGGCTGACTCCATGGTGCTAGGCCTGAGGTGAAGCAGAACATGATGGTAGAAGAGTGTGGGGAGGAAAGCAGCTCAGGATGGGGAGTCAGGAAACAGCACTGCTCACCAGGGACAAAATATAAACCCCAAAGGAACACCTCTAGTGACCTGTCTTTTCTAGCCACACTCTACCTGCTTACACTTACTTGCCCAGTTAATTCATATCAGTGGATTAATACACTGATTAGGTTAAGGCTCTCATAATTCAAGTATTTCACCTTGAAACCTCTTGCATTGTCTCACACATGAACTTTTGGGGGACATCTCATATCTAAACCTTAACAGTGGTGTTAATCTCATATAACAGATGAAGAAGCCGAGTCTCACAGAAGTTGAGTGACAAAGTCAGTGTCTCATAGTTTTGACCTTAAAGTTCAACATTAGTTTTCAAAATACGTTTTAGCTGAAATTGGGTATTCAGTTTATAATTGTGTCATGAGATTTTTCAGCCCATTAAAATTTTTTATTACTGTTATTGATCTTTTTAAAATGGTCAGTGAAGACTAGGAGATGATAATGTTTATCTACAGGGAAAAATATGGATAATGCAAAACACAAATAGCTCTTTCCCACTCTCCTTAAACTAAAATTGAAGATTTGTGACGACTTTCTTCCCTGTTCTGGATTGCAGATAATGAAAAGTGGGTCATAGAAGCCAAGAGGAAATGTGGGACTTCTGTAATTCATGTGATAGTATATAATTAACCAGACTATTTGTAATTTTCCACTGTCAAAAGTTGGTTTCTGTGTTTACTGCTTCTAACTTTGAATGCAAAAAGAAATCTGCATTTCATAGTCACTCTCCTGAACAGAGGTATTCAAAATTTATTTTCTGGAAATAAATTTTATTTTCTAGGCATCCTTAAATCCTAGTGATACTCCTCCTTCAATTGTAAATGAAGATTTTCTTTGTGAACTTAAAGAAACTAATATTTCATATTCACAAGAAGCAGATGATCGAGTATTTAGAGCTCATGGTAAGCTACTTTAAATTGGCACCATTTACTTTTAATTAAAAATTTTCTAGGTTTTATAAAGATATTTTTACATTTTTTCTTTTTAAAATCACAAACAGGTCATTGTCTTCATGAGATATTTTTGCTCAGGGAAGGAATGTTTCAGCGAATTCCTGATATAGTTTTATGGCCAAGTAAGTTATTTTTTTCTCTTTGTACCATTAACTTAGTATTGTTAAATATTAAGTAAATTTAGTACTTGAAATATGTACTTTTTAATGTATGAGTTAAATATAAATAGTGATATTTTTAAGAACTTAGTAAAGGCCTTGAAACTCTTTCTTGATGAGATTGTTCTGAACAGTAGATTTTTAAGGATTACTGTTGATTATTAAGTCTTTAAGTTAAATGTATATAATTGCATTTAATGATCAGTAGAAAAATATATATTTTATTCATTTGGAAGCTTAGTGAAATTAGTACAATTTATTCAGATACATAGAAATTATTAATAAATACAATTACTGTAAAACTAAAAATAATAGTAATTTGGTAACATTAGTTTTTGGGCTAAAAAGTAAGGTTATGTGGTAAAACAAGGTGTTTAAAAATATATGATATACTTACTATCTTTGAAATGAATAAGTTTTGAGAAATTAACATTTTGGATTTGGTTTGGGAAAGAAGATGGATGAACTTTTTGTTATTTTCCTCTTGGTAAGGAATTAGGTACTATATTTATTACATTTTTTTAAACTATCTCTTTTACCATATAATTTAAAGCAGGGAAGGTATGTCGTTCCTTGCTGTCCATGATAGCATTGTTAAAAAAGTTATATTGATTTCCAGATCACTTTTTTCTTAAGATTTTCCACTTCAAAGTATATAGAATATTTTATTTTTCAGAAAGTTGGTTCATTCATGAATTCTGAGGTCTTAGATAAGATCCTTCCACTTTGTAGGAACTTTCTGAAGGAAAAATGATACCTAAGATGGGGAGAAAAAGGAGGTAAGATAGGAAAATCCAAGATCATATGTAGCAGAGATGAAATTAGTTTCCTGATTCTTGGGATGTATATTCTCCCACACATTTGGAATAGTTATGGTCTTTTGTCTCCATTTAGTATAGAAATTTAGTTGTAAAGAAAAAGAAAAAGGAAAAGTTATTTCAAATAGAAGAAATATTTTGTTTTGCCTGCTGATTTTTTTTAGTAACTTTAGGCTGCTTCTTTACTAAGATTTGTGGAAGGTTTATTCCTTTTTTTAAATTTGAAAATTCTTTTTTCATTTTTTATTTTGTTGGTACCAGGGATTAAACCCAGAGGTACTTAACCACTGAGCCACATCCCCTTTTTAATATTTTATTTAGAGAAGGGTTTTGCTAAGTTGCTTAGGGCCTCAATAAGTTGCTGAGGCTGGCTTTTTAAATTAATTAATTAGTTAATTAATTTTTTTTTACAGTAGAATGCACTTTGGAGTATTGTACACAAATGGAGCACAACATCTCTTTCCTCTGGCTGTACATGGTACACAGTCACTCCAGTAGTGTGATTATACATGTATATAGGATAAAAATGTCTGTCTCATTCTGCTGTTCTTTCCATCCCAAAAGCCCCACCCCTCCCCTCAATCCCCTCTAAGCAAACCAAAGTTTCTTCACATCTCCCCCAACCCCCCACTATGGATTAGCATCCGCTAATCAGAGAAAACATTCGGACTTTTGTTTTTTTGGGTTTGGCTTATTTCACTTAGCATGATATTCTCTAGTTCCTTCCATTTACCTGCAAATGCCATAATTTCATTCTCTAAGACTGAGTAATAGTCCATTGTATATACCACATTTTCTTTATCCATTCAATCCTTTTTTTTTTTTTTTAAACTAGAAAACATGAAAGCAAAATTTGTTGATTTTCATTGGCCACAGGAAACTTAATAGACCTTCCTTTAACGTATCTTGAGAAGAAATTTCAAGTGTGTCTTCTGGGTATTTTCATTATGTTTCAATATTGAAGTACTGAGAGAATTCCAAAGTGGAAGTATGTTTTTCTTTAAGAAGTCCAGGTATTTTTAAAAAGCCAAATGTAGGAAACAGAAATAGTTGCCACACACAAATATCTTTTCTTTGTAAAATCCTACCCATTTGGTTAGTTCCTACATGTCTGTGCTTGTCCATTTTATTTTCCTCACCCCAATTTCTAGTTCGGTCTTTTATTAGTGTGTAACTGGGTTTTTGCAATAATAGCTTTAAAGGTTTTGATGCCTCAAGTTTCTTAACTCTTCAGATCTCCTGTACACTCTCCAGAGGTTTAATTTTTGTGAAAGAATTCCTTGCATTTTATGTCATACTTTATTTATCTATATGAATGGTGTATTCCTGGATGAATCAAGTTTTTAACTTTATTCTGTTGAATCTTCTGCTATGAGAGCTTTATAGTAATAGTTTTGTTTCCCATCACATTGTCAGTTCACAGTGACCTTTATTTAACTTTGATATCAATTCTTATTGTTGATGCTTCTAAATTTTCCTTTGCATGAGGGCAACTTTTGAGGCAGTGCAATTTGAGGTAATTCCATGGAATAGAATTGACTGTCTCACCTTGCAGTTTGGAGACCACACCTGTCCAAGTCTGTATTTGAAGTTATCTTTAAGTCTATTTAATCTGAATCTGAATTCTACATATTGCTTTAATGGAATGGCTATGGCTTGTTTAAGAGTAAAGACTTTGTGATATATGTAACTTCCCTGCTCTGGTGTCATCTTTAAAGCAGGATTTTCACCATTGTGACCTTTCCACAGTGTGCATATTTTGACCTTTAGTTTGGACAGATGGTTAGTCACTCATATAATGCATGTTTTTGGTGTAAGTATGCTTATAAAATTTAAAATTTCCTTTAGCGAAAACATTTTAAAAATTACTTCACTTAATAATACCAGAACTTCAGGCCAAGGAAAACATAGGCTTCGCTAATGTTCTAGTGCCACTCATATTTAGTCTCAGCACCTCTTACTTAGCATTTACAGTCTTCCATAGTTAGGTTTTTCTTACTTAGATAACTTTAACACTGATAAAGAGCCCTTTAGTTAGGTGCTGGTCTATTTTGTGTAAGATTTTAATGTTTTTCTAAAAAGCAGAAAAAAGAATCATTAATGAAGTGTTAAAATTAGTGGGTGAAAGTATGATGAGAAACATACTATTTACATATCTAAAGATATTTACTGATTTCAACAGGAAATATACCTACCAGACAATCTAACCTGTTAGGGTTTTTACCCCCCACCCCCACCCCGTTCCCTCCTGACCTGTGGGAGAGATTGGGGCAGCACGCCCTGGCCAGGACAGGCCAAGAAAGGTAAAGGTCAACTGGCCGCCCACACCCAGGCCCCCCCCCCCCCCAGGACAATCAGGCGGGCCAGGGAGAACAGTCAAAGCAGTATCTCCTTTAATGAGAAAACATACATAGCTAATATAATGTACAGGAACCAATCAGGGTAAAGGTCAGCAGGGTTGGGAATCTACACCCAACCTACAGACAGTAATGGGAGACATGAGCTGACCTTGAGGGCAGAAGAGTTCTGAGCCTGTCCTAGAGGTGGTCCGATTCTTCATCACAACCCTTGGCAATGCCTTCTGGCTAATTGCTAGGTCCTCTCTTAGCTACCTATGGCCCCAGGACTGGGAAGCGAGTAGCAGCCAGCAAGTTTCCTCTTTTCTGATGCAACATGCCCCAGGTTACATCATGCCCTACACTAACCAAATGAACAAAGTTAACATTACTGGAAATAAGACATGTCTGTGTGTGCATCATGTGTCTCCAGAAGTATTGCACTAAGAAAGGCACAATATCCACTTCTGTGTAATTACTATCAAAATGTAAAATCTGTTTAATCATGAGGAAACATACAAATCCAAACTGAGGATGTTTTATGAAATAACTGAACAGTGTTCTTCAAAAGTGTCATGGTCATGAAAGTCAGAGATAGGCTTCGGAAATGTGTAGCTTTAAAGAAGAATGAGGAGATGTGACCAGCTAAAATCACTGTGTGATCTGGATTTGACCCTGAACCAGAAAAGGGAACTTTGGTGAGACAATTGACCACAGTTAAGGTCTGTAAATTAGTTAATTGTTTTTAGTATTAATTGCTTGGTTTTGTTAAGTGGACTTTTGTAATATAAGATGTTATTGTTTGGGGATGTAAGGTGAAGGGAATTCTTTGTAGTATTTAGTGGCTTTTTTGTAAATCTGAAATTATTTCAAAATGAAAAGTTGAAAAGAACTTGTTATGTCTTAATACAGCTGTTTAGTGCATTAATGAATAAGCAAAGAAAAAGTTTGGATGCTAAATAACTTTATAGACCCTTATTTTTTTAGGATTATCCAGATATTATTCATATCCCTTTAATTAATGTATTTTCCTTTTTTTTTCAACAGCATGTCATGATGATGTAGTTAAGATTGTGAATCTAGCATGCAAATATAACCTTTGTATCATACCAATTGGTGGTAGGTATTGTGCTTTTATATTTAAATCTGATATAAATTTGTTTTATTTAAAGTATTTGTATTTTAAGTGTTTATGTTGTCTGCTGAAAAAAAACATTTCTATAATTTTAATGAGTTTTTTTTAAGGAGTCCCTTTATTGTATCCAGAATTAATTATTTTGTTTATTTTTATGTGATGCTGAAGGATCAAACCCAGTGCCTCACATGTGCTAAGGCACATACTCTGCTACTGAGCAATAGCCCCAACAGATGAGATTATTTAAAAAAAATTGGTTGATGCTGCTTATTTCTGTTCTGAAGAGGTTTACCTAAACTGAGACTTGGCGTACAAACTTTTAATTCCTGGTTTCTTTTTTCTTGGTGGATCATAGTTGAAACTGTAATTTAATGCCTAAATAAGAAAATGTTCCTGCTTTAGTAGTTACTTTCTAATCTGTATGTTTATGGATATGATTTTAATTTTCAAAGGCAAAAATAGATATACCCAGTCTAAACCTTTGAGAAGCAGAGTCATAATAGAGCATTCTGTGGATTAAAAGAGCACCAGTATATGATCAAATCATTTATATCTTTTCATGCAGAAAACTAGCATTGTTTTGCATTTTATTTTATTTTATTTTTTTTCTTTTTTGATTTATTTATTTTTCTTTTTTTAAAATTTTTTATTGTTGGTTGTTCAAAACATTACATAGTTCTTGACATATCATATTTCACACTTTGATTCAAGTGGGTTATGAACTCCCATTTTTACCCCATATACAGATTGCAGAATCACATCAGTTACACATCCATTGATTTACATATTGCCATACTAGTGTCTGTTGTGTTCTGCTGCCTTTCCTATCCTCTACTATCCCCCCTCCCTGTTTTGCATTTTAAAATGTTTTTGATCTTTTATTGACTGCTTTGTTCTAACAACTTATCTAGGTAAAAGGAAATAAACCTTAGTGACCAAATTAGCATTGATGGAATGGAAATGGGACATTAACAATTTCAGGAGCTCCAGATCCCTTTTCAGCTCACACTATCTATTGAATTTATACAAAAAAGGGACTACAGTGTCACTTATTATGAAATATTTTTCTGAACTCAAATAACTGTGATAATCAAATAGTTGTTACTGATTACAGGAATCATGTTTGTAACTGATAATTGTCTCCTCTTTTAAAATTAATCTGATCAACATCCATATGCTTTTTATGGGAAGTGACTCCCATATGTTTTCTTACACGAAAGTGTATGCAAGTATCAATTAAAATGTATTCTGATATAGGCTGATGGAGATCTAATTAAAGAACTGAAAATATTGTATTATTCTTGGTACCAAGAAAACACTTTTACTTTGACAATAAGTATTAAGAGAAAACAGCAGTATATTATTTAAATACTTCTGTGTATTATTTATTCTATATTAAGGTCGATTTTTCACCAAAGAATATATTAGTTTGTTTTTAAATATCACATAATTTGGACATTTTAACTTGTTTGTAATTTATTAAAAGCCTTTTTGTATGAGAATATTATTTTAAATGACAAATGAATCTCAATATTAAAGTAGAAAGTAATAAATGGCATCTAGTTATATAGGATGTTTCTTTTTTTCACAGTAATCATTAGCTTAGATTATGTATTGTTCTAATTATGTATGTGGAGTTCTACAAATTGTAGGGGCCTCACTTGAGTGTGTTTTGTTCAGGGAAAGAAACCATATCCCATTGCTTTTGGTTCCATAATATTGCTTCATTTTGGCAATAAATAAACTAAAGGTGAGTTTTCTTTTAGTATGTTATCATTTGTGAATTGTATTTTGCAGAGTAGAAATAGATGTCCCTCTGTTAATGGTTCTATTTATATACACTGTGTTAGGAATTTCCCCTAGAAGAGTAGCTAAAAGGAAAATATTTAAACATGAAGTTGTTTGTATTTTGGCAGGAGGAACAAGTGTTTCATATGGCCTGATGTGTCCTGCAGATGAGACAAGAACAATAATTTCTTTGGACACTTCACAAATGGTATATGATAATTTAAGATACATTTGAATGTTTATATTTAAAACATTGTCCTTATGACTTTGCCTCAATTATCATTCAAAAAAAGATCTGTTGTCCATTTTGTTTTGAATGTATTTCATCATTATATTTTAGCCTTGTCTTCAGATATTCAAAATCTTAAGTTCACTTACTCTGAGGTGCATATCTTGTTGCTATTTTACCAAATTAGAATGTGGTATTGATAATTTGAGAAGCATGAATTAGAAGATTGACATATAGATGACTTGATTTCATTTTATCTATTATTTGTCTAGTATCTCTCTACTATTAAGCTACATCCACAGTCCTTTTTTATTTTTTATTTTGACAGGGTCTCACTAAGTTGCCCAGGCTGGCCTGAAGCTTAGGATCCTCTTGCCTTGTTGTTCCTACTAGCTGGGAGTACAGGCCTGCACTGCCATGTCAGACTTCCTGTTTTTAAAAAACAGAACAGATAATATTAGTCAGTTAAGGTTAATTTGAATAATCAAAACTTGTCTCCCAGATTTATACTAATGTTGTTGCATTTTTGCTTGGTGGTGAATGGAAGAACTAATTTAATGATAGGCTTTAGTTTGAAGTTTGGATTTATTGTGGTCCAGGAGTTGGACGTTGTGCTGTGTTAAGGCTTTAATTTGGGTATGAACTTTATATAATCAATGGTATTCCTGATCATTTCTTTATTATAATAAAAACAACTTTAAAAAAAACTTTTTAATTTGAATTTTTTTCAAACACAGAATAAAGAGAATGGTATATTTATTGTCTAGATTAGTTATTAGCATTTTGACATACTTGTTTTATCTTTCATTTGTTCTTTAGTATTTTAAAGCAAATCCTTTAAAAATGCTACTTTACACCTAAATATTTCTTTCTGTCTCTTTAAAAGGAATATTTTCTCATATTACTATTACATTATTATCACTCTTGGCATAGTCAAAAGTAATTTCTTATAGCATTTAATATTGAGTCTTTCTTTATGCACAGTGCCTTTGTTTTGTAGTTCATTTGTTCAAATGGGGGTTTAGAAAAGGCTTATGTTAGCTTTTTGTTGTTTCTCTTAAATCTTATTTTATCTGAAAGTGTCCTCTTCTTCCCCTTTTTCAAATGTTTCTGACTTTTGAAGAAACTGTTATTTATATCATAAAGTGACTTGCTTTGAATTTGTTGCTTCTTCTTGGTGTCATTTAACTCTTCTTTTATGCCCTCTATATAGACTAGTTAGATTCAGGCATGATTTAAAAAAAATAAATATATACCATAAATAAAAATATACCATCATTATAGATGGTGATATGCTTTTAAATTTTATTTTATGGAGACATAAGTGTTTATGTTTGTGGGGTTATTGAAACGAGTGATGTTTTTATACACGTATACTTTGTAATGATCAATTCAGAGCAATTATCATACCCAAGACTTTGTAATTTTGTGCTGTTTAAATATCATATAACATTAGGAGAGGTGGTATACAATAGCTAATTATCCTACATTCGTGATGCTAAAATTGATTACAAGTTTTACATGGTAGCTGCCTGATTATTGTACTATGAAGTTCCCTATCAACGTTTCTCCTTATTCCAGAATGTAAAAAAAAAAAAAAAACTATAATTTATTCAAAATATAGAACTACTACAGTAGCCTTTTTTTTTTTTTTTGAATATATTTGGATTTTTGGCTCTTTATTTTGCTGTGCAAATTTACCTGTAAGTTTGTTACCAAATGTGTGAAATAGTAATACTACAGAAGGTTATTATAAAGGTTAAATGAGATAATACAAGTAAAAGTCTTGATGCCGAGTAGATGTTTAAAATTCTGAAGCAGGATTTCCATGTTTCCAAGTAGTTTTGTGTAGTCACTGAACTGTTAACTTTGAATTGTTTTAAATATGATTGTTGGGTGGGTACCTATAACTGTGATTTGTGTTAAAGTCAGTAAGTCATATCTCAGTGATTTTGCTCACTGTATTTCTGCTGTAATACATATAAAATAAGGGAATCAGAGTTGTATTTGAATACATATAATAATACTATGGCCTGTTGGCTGTGGGAGTTTTTGTTTTAACTTGGGTAGTGTATACTAGATGTAATAAGATAATCTATACATTTTCTTGAGGTTTTTATGTGAATACTCATGAAGGTGGTTTTCTTCTCTGCCTCTTTTAATTTCTTTTTTTCTGTCAAAAAAGATGTTTGGACCCTTACTGGGTACAAGTAAATATTTAGCACATATGTGTAATTGTCTCAAGGGTCAGTCTGTTGGGGAAGAAGATGTACATAACTTATATAGATGGTATTATTAGATTAATAAATTCTTTGTCTTTTATTCAACAATTTAATATATACATATACGTATGTATATATGTATATAAGACTAAATTTGTTTAGCTGGTACAGAACCAAACACCCAATTATACCATAGTTATGTTGAAATTACTGTTATAGGCAGAGTATAATTAATGAGTTTTATATAACAAACCAAAAAGTACATTCTCATCTTATTTAGTAATTATTGTACCCTATGAATTAAGCAGTGCAGTTATTTGTATGTGTTCCAATTTGGAATTTAGGCAGACACTGCTCTTTTTGTATTGCCTATTGTATTCTTTTTATCATTAACCAGACTTATTTACATTAGTTATTATTATGCAGTTAAACATACCAAAATACAAAGTAAGCTTCCTTGGGATCCAGAAGATTCTATGTGTTACCTGATTGCTCAAATAGAAGGGGAAAGAAGGATATATATGAAGACACATATATACATAAAAATTAGGCCAAATAAGAATGTTAAAAACACATTTTTTATTATTATCAGTCATATATTTCTGCCAGAAAATACTCAGTTTCTTCTTTTGAGTATGACACAGGGATGTGCTTTGTTTTCTCTGTGGGATTTCTGGTCTTTTTTTTCAGATTGAAAGAAAGCAGAGATGCCATTTATTAATTCAGATGCCTTGTCAGGTGTTTTCTTTCCTATTATCTGATTCTTAATTAGATAGGATTGCCATGTTGACAGAAGTACAGATAGTATCTACAGAATGCCAGGCCTCACATATGCTGTTTGTTTTTTTATATGCATTATCTCATTTATTTCCAATAGCACGTGTCTACATTATTATGAGTATATAGTATTAATATATGTATGTGTTTTTGCAGTGAAGAAACACTAAGCCTAGACAGTTATTTGCCTAAGCTAAGAGTTGGAGTTCAATTCATATTAATATCTGCCTAAAGAATCAGTATTTTATGTGTTATGTTATATAATAAGGGGTAAGTGTAGCTCATTTCCCACCTGGGTGGTGGTTGAATAACCTTACTTATTTAATTATTGTCTTGTCACTTGTTGCCTTGAATTAGGAAGTTCTGTATTTCCTGAGAAAATGTTAGTAGAACATGGAGATGAGACTTCTCACTTCTTTCAACAGAATCGAATTCTTTGGGTTGATGAGAACAATCTGACAGCTCATGTAGAGGCTGGCATAACAGGACAAGATTTGGAAAGACAGGTATGTTATCTCTTTAATGTTTTCAAAACTACTCTGTCCTCTATCTAAATGAAATACCTTTCATGTTACATTTTTTCCCTCCAGGAACTCAATGAATTTGCCAAGTTTCTATGTGGGTCAAGCATTAAGCTAGATGTTGAGAACATAGTAGTGAAAAAGACATTACCTACTACCCTCAGGTGGCTTACATTCTATTAGGACAAAAAGTTAGGTAAATAGAAATTTAATGATTGAGAATTGCCGTATGAAGACTAAATTCAAGTCATCAAATGGGGCCAGGTGGGAAGAACTTGTACAAAGAATGTGTGACAGAGAATAGGGCAGTTTGAGATCAGATTTCAGGATGAATCAGATTAGCAAAAAAGGAGGTGAGGTGGGAAGAACAATCAGTCAGAGGAAGAAGCATGTGCATAGGCCTTAAAGGTAGTTATTGCTTTTAGTGGAGACTGCAGATAACTGAGTATGACTGCAGTGTAGTGTGTATGTAGAACACACATCCTTGGTGTATGTTGGATGGGAGTAGGTGTAGGAGTAAGAGGATGAGTCCAAAAAAACATGAAGAGGTCAGAAATAAAGGACCTTATAAAACTACTTTGAAAGCTTGAACCTTATCCTTGTACCTTAGATAATTCTGGCTACTGTGTGGAGGATGAATAGGCCATGTAAGAGCTGATTAAGAGACTGCTATAATAATTTAGATGAGAGCTGTTAGTGACCTGATACACAGTAGGAGGAATGGAAGGGAGCAAAATGGAACATATTGGAAATATAATTCTCAAGTCTTGATGGTAAATTGCATCAGTAGGTAGATGTTGGTGTTTGCTATTTACTGAACTTTTCAATGAATAATTTTATTGAAAACTGCTCATCTATGAGTAGTGAAACTTATAGAGTCCTTGTAGCATGTTTTTGGGATTCTAATGAATTTTTGGAAAACTTTAGGTTCTCTTCATAGGTTCTAAGCAAGTCATTGTTCAGATGGTTGGATCCTTCAACTTCCTGAATTGTGATCAAGGCAATTGTAACTTAGCTTTTGTAAACAAAAGTCAGAAATTCTATTTTGTTGGTCATGTATTAATCACTTTGTCCAACTTGGGATTATAGAGATCCTTCCCTCCAAAACTTTAACAGGACATAGAGAAAGATATGATTGTTGATCTTACTTTTTATTGTCTTTTTCCCTTTTTTTTTTGGAAATGTTGACTGAAGTTGGTCTGCTGAGACTAATTCTACTTGAAGGGGTTTGAAAACAATATTTAACTATTGTCTTTATTTTTTATTTAATATAGTAAGATGTAGAGAACTAGAATAAATAGAGAACTATAATAAATTAGGAAGCTGATTTTAATTGAACATTTCTTGAGGTGTTAAAGATCATCAAATAAGTCAAGATTTTGTATGTCAAGGTAAGGAAATTTTATTAATTATTATAGTTTGTATTGAACTTCAGTGGGCAGAATAGTAGTATTTAATGAAAAACCCCCGAAAGTCAAATGTTAGTCTTCCATTTTGCCGGAATGAGGCATTATCAATCAATATAGCATTTCTTTTTTAAATTAAAAGAATGGCTTTTTATGTCTCTAATTTTACATACTTTATTATAGCATCTTAACCTTTTCAAGCTTTCTTTTTTTTAAAGGTTAAAATTAAAATTCAAGGAACATATTTTCTTTAAATTTGAATGACATCCTCCTAGACTAGAAACTTCTGATATTTTACCTACTAGTTTATTTTTCTTACTGCCAATGTACCACTTTCTGTTTTGATTGCAGTAGGCTGTAGTTTCTGCAGCAGTTAAAAAAAAAATTTACTTAGTTGTAGATGGACACAATACCTTTATTTTACTTATTTATTTTTATGTGGTGTTGAGAATCGAACCCAGTGCCTCACCTGTGCTAGGCAAATGCTCTACCACTTGCCGCAGTCTGGCTGGGCACAAAATCACGAGCCACTCAAGCAGGAACAAACTTTATTTTTTTTGAAACTGCCGCCAATGTCCGGTAAGCACCCGGGAAGATTTTCGATCCACCCACGCGGCCTCCTCCTGGACCGCAGAGAGCGCTCCTCCCTTGGAACTCCCTCCTACTGTACTTCCCCAACCAATGGGAACTCTCCAGGAGTCCAGTAGCCAGCTTAGGTGAACAGCAGGAATCCAATATCCATATGAATGCAAATCTTAACATAATCATACCATCTCAATGGCTAGCTGGCGTCACCTTTCGACCAAAAATGCCATGCATCATATACTTGGCTCTTAGCAACCACTGAGCCACAACCCCAGCCCTCTGCAGCAGTTTTGATCCCAGTTCAAGTTCTTCCTTAAAATTCGGTGTCCTTCAGTTTCTATATCAGCTGAGATAACCAGTTTAACATGTACTGCTTTTTGTTTCTGGAATTTTAAAAAGGAAACAACACAGTCATTAGGAAGCTGATTTTAATCTCTTTAACTTATAAGTTACTTTGATTTAAGTATGTTTAAGGGAAGTCACTAATGGGGAATTTCCTTTTCAGGTTTATTAAAATACTTTGACTACTTTATTGGCTAATAGACTGGGGATGTGTGGCCATAATTCTTTTTTCCCCTTGGGTCCATATTGCTAAAAAAACTTCTCATTTTCTTTTTCTCTTTCTTTCTTTCTAGATATTAGATCTTAGTGTAAACTTCAAATATAGCTTGTAGCTGTATGATGTTGGGCAAGTTACTTTTATGCCTCATTTCCTCATTTATAAAGTGGGGATGATTCTACTTCTTTAGGTTGTTCATTAGGGTTGAATTAAGTTAATACCTAGAATTTTGATTCATTCTACTAATTTTTATGGAGGATTATCTGCTTCATTCAGGTACAGTTAACTTTTTTTTTTTTTTTTTAATTATTATTACACTGAAGACTCCCAAATTTGTACCATTGACCCAGACTTCTTTCCTGAATTGTATAGACTCTTGTATCCAATTTCCTAGTTGATGTGTCCGCTTGGGTAACTAAGGGATATTTCAAACTGAATGTTTTAAAAGCTGAATTTTTAGAGATAAAATTTTTAATCATTACTCCCAATTTTACATACCCTGTAGCTTTTTATTTTCAGTAGAGAAAATTTAGTTGATTGAGACTTAAGATCAAAATCTGAGTCATATATTTTTGTTTTGTTTTGCTTTATAATAGTTTCATTTAAGATGTAATTTTCATATAGTAAATTGTCTTTACTTAAAAGTGTACAAGTTTTATAAGTATTAAAATATGAATACAGCTGTGAAACCCATTATGACCATTAGGATGGTGAACATATTCATCAATCCCAAGAGTTTCCTCTTGCTTCTTTATAATTCTACCTCATTCTTACTCCCAGCCCTTACCTTATCCTTGACAGTCACTGATCCGCTTTTAGACACTGTAGATTTATTTAAATTTCCTATAATTTTATTAAAGTAGAATCATACAGTACTCTTTTTTTTGGAGTGGGGGACGATGGGGTGTTTCTGGTTGTTTTTTGCTACCATGATTATTTTGAGATTCATCTATATTGTTGCATGTATTAATAGTTTGTTTCTTTTCATTGCTCAGAAGTATTCTGTTGTATAGGTACTCCAGAGTTTATCCATTTACCTGTTGATGAGCACTTGGTTTATTACTAGTTTGGGGCTATTAGAAATAAAGCTGCAGTGAACATTCATGTACAGGTTCTTTTATGGATGTATATATTTTCTTTCTCTTGGGCAAATATCTGGAAATGAAATGGATAGATCAAAATAATAGGTTGTTTTTGAAAAAATACCAAACTTTTCCTCAGAGTGATTGTATCATTTTCTATTTTAGCTTATATTAAGAGTTTCAGTGTCTTCAAATCCTTGCTAATACTTTTTATTTTTTTTAAATTTTAGTCATTGTAGCAGGTGTGTAGTAGTATCTTATTGTAGTTTTAATTTGAATATCTCTAATGACTCGTGAAGTTGAATATCCTTGTATATGCCTAGTTGCCATCCATGTATCAACAGTGGTAAAGTGTCTGTTGAGATTGTTAGCCCTATTTTTAAATTGAATTGTTTGTTTGTTTTCCTATTATTGTGCTTTGAGAGTCCTTTTGTTTTTGGTGCCAGGGATTGAACCCAGGGTACCTTACCACTGATTCCACTGAGCCACATCCTCAGCCCTTTTACTTTTTATTTTGAGTTGGGGATCTTGCTAAGTTGCTATGACCTCGCTAAATTGCTAGGTTGGCCTCGAACTTTCAATCCTCCTGTCTCCTCTTTCTGAACCAATGGGATTACAGGCATGCACCACAATGCCTGACAAAAGAGAGCGTTCTTTATATTCTCTGTATAAAGTCCTTTCTCAGGTACATGTTTTGCAGATACTTTCTCCCAGTCTGTGGCATGTCATTTTATTCGGTGTATTAATTTTTTTATCTTACACATCATGCTTCTGTTATTGTTTCTTAACATAAGGTTGCAAAGATTTTCTCCTATTTAAGTTTTATAGTTTTTGGTTTTACATCGATTAGTTCAGAAGAATTCTTAGTTTACATATAGTTTGAGGTATTGATATTGATTGAAGTTGATTTCTTTTTGCATATGGATATCTAACTGTTCCAGCACCATTTGTTGAAAAAGATAAAATTTCTTCACTGTAACAAGTGCACCATCATTTAAAAACAAAACACATTTGAGTGTGTGTGTGTGTGTGTTTATGTATGTATGTATATATATATGCATCTAGTTCTGGAGTCTGTTCTGTTGCATTAGTCTGTGTGTATACCTTTATGGTAGGACCAGACTGAATTACTGCAACATTTTAAATTCATTTTCAGAGTTGTTTGGGTGATTCTAGGTTTTTGTATTTTTATAGGGATTTTAGAATAATTTTGTCAATTTGTGTTTGGAAAAAAAAGCCTATTGGGATTCTGATTAGGATTACATTGACTCTGTATTGGTGAGAACTGACATCTCAACAATATTGATTCTTGTGACCTGACCCATAAACACAGTATATCTTTAGTTTTTTTAGGTCCGTAATTTTCCTCAGCAGTGTTTTATGATTTCTATGTGTGGGTCTTATGTATTTATTAAAATCAGATTAGTCCTTAAGTATTATATAGTATTTAATGCTATTGTTTGGATTTCTGATTTTAAAATTAACATATAAAATAGAGTTGATTTTTGTGTATTGTTCTTATATCTGCACCCTTATTAAATTCACTGATTAGGTTAAATATTTTGTATATCTCTTTGGATTGTCTATGTAGATGATCATGTTGTTTGTGAATGAAGACAATTTTATCTCTTCCTTTCTAATCAAAATGCTTTTTTTTTTTTTTTTTTTTTTTTTTGGTACCAGGGCTTGAACCCAAGGGTGCTTAACTACTGAGCCACATCCCCATCCCTTTTTAAATTTTTTATTTTGAGATAGAGTTTTGTAAGTTGCTTAGGGCCTTGCTAAGTTGCTGAGGATGAACTTGTGATCTTCCTGCTTCAGCCTACTAAACTGCTGGGATTATACACCTGTGTAATCTGGATGCTTTTTATTTCTGTTTCTCACCTGATCATGCTGACCAGAACCTCTTAATACAAATAAATTTGAGTGGATATCCTTATCTTATTACTGATATAGGATAGATGTATTCAGACCTTTAACATCAAGTGTATATTAAATGTAGGTGTTTTTTTGTAGATACCTTTTATCAAGTTGAGGAATTCCTTTTCTACATTAGTTTTAGAGTTCTTATTAGGAGTGAATGTTGGATTTGTCAAATTCCTTTTCATGTTTTATGGCAGAAGTTATGGTAATTTGAGGTCTTGTTTTCTAATAAAGGGTTTCACTGTTGTAAATTTTTGCCTAACTATTGCTTTATTGGCATCCTCAATTTTTACCCCATTCATGTCATAATATTTTCTACTTCTCTTTTGATTTTTTTCTTTGACCCAAGCTTTACTTATGCTATTTGCTTTCCAATTATTTAGAGATTTTTTAACAGACCTTTGTCTGTTTTTAATTTCTATCTTAATTCTATCGTGTTAAAAAAAAAAAACCCTACTTTATACAATTTGGATCCTTTCAAATTTAGTGTCACTTGTTTTATAGTCCATGATGTGGTCTGTTTTGTACATGTTTCATGTGTACTTGCAAAAACTGTGTCATTTGCTGTTTGGTGGCTTAATCTATAAATATGTATTAGGTCAAAATAATTTATAGTATTATTTAGGACTTATTTATTTTTCTTATATACTGTCTGCTGTTTGATCAATTATTGAGGGCCATTAAAACCTCTAGTATAATTGCAGATCTGTCTACTTATACTTCTATCAATGTTTACTCTGTGTACTTTAAAACTTGTTATCAGAGGACAACAGTAAATAAATGTTGAAGATTATTGTGTCTTCTTGATTAATTGACCCTTTTGTCATGATAAAATGACCTCTTTTATTCCTGATAACATTCTTTGCTCTGAAATCAACTTTAATATTAAAATATCTACTGTAGTTTTCTTCTGATTATTGTTAGCATGGTATGTTTTTTCCCTTTTTCTATTCTTTTACTTTTAACTAGTTTGTACCTTTATGTTTAAAATACCTTTCTTGTTGGCATCAGATAATTGGGTCTTTTCTTTTTGTCTAACCTGAGAGTTGCTACCTTTACATCGGGGCATCATTTCATCTTTTGACAGTTTTAGTTTGTTTGTCATCTTGCTAACGGGTTGAGTATCCCTAATCTCAAATTTGAAATTCTCCAGAATCCAAATTTTTTTGAATGCTGACATGATGCCACATTGCAAAAACTTCACTCTTGACTTAATATAATGGTTTGAAGTCAAATTGTAGATACCCAAAAAATACTGTATAAAATTACCATCTATCTGTGTGCTTACGATATATATGAAATACAAATAATTTCATGTTTAGACTTGGTTTCCATACCTAAGATATCTTATAATATATGTATGTATATTCTGAAATCAGAAAAAAATTGAAGTCTGAGCTGCTTCAGATTCTAAGCATTTCAGATAAGAGATATACAACCTGTATTTATTTTCTATATTGTCCATCTGTTTTTTCTTTTCCTCTTTTTTACTACCTTTTTAAGATGTATTATTTTTTAATGATACTTTTTATTTCTTTTGTTTCTTTATTAGCTATGATCTTTTATTTTGTTATTCTAGGGTTTACTGTACACATCTTTAACTTATAACAGTTTTACTGAATAATGGCCTCAAGCTACAAGAGAAGCCTAAAATACTGCATAGGGTTTGATACTATCCACAGTTGCAGATATCCACTGGGGTCTTGAATATGTCCTCTGTGGATAAGGGGAGACACTGTACAACCTCCGCAGTTTAGGATTGTTTTTGTTTTGGTGATGTATCTGAAGCTCGGCACATACTCAATAAATACTTGTTGTTTTGGTATTGAAGGGGACACAGAAGTGGGATAAAGTTCCTGTTCTTATAGTTTTTCATGGCACATGAGAAGAGATTGATGGACAAAGTTGTTACTTTTACATAATGCAGTATGGAACAGAGAGGTTATTTTGTTTAAAAGATTATTTGTTAAGTGTATGAATAAATCTGGACCTTCCTTCAGCAGATTATTCTTAGGTAGCTAATGACAATAACAGAAAATATAAGCTTTTAAAGGATAAAGTGGCTCCTATCATGTATATGGTAGTAGATACAATTATAGAGTATTGTGTCCCAACGACAATTTCTTAGTAAATTAGCATGCTGTAGTATGCAGATTTTCTAGCTAGGATAAATTTTTTTAAATATTTATTTTTTAGTTTTAAGTGGACACTGTATTTTAGGTGAGCACTCCACCACTGAGCCACAACCCCAGCCCCTCAAACCCAGGTTTAACTGTTAATACTTAACTCACTTACTTAGTAGGAAGTTAGAGAGATTTTTTAACAAGAAAGTAGATTAAAATATTTGTGCTAGGTAGAGTTCCTTCAGCATAAGAACTCCATGTTTTTATTTTTGGAGTCTTTATCTTCATTGCTTTACATAATTCCTGGCACATAGTAACTATTTGTAATTGGAGAAAGTAAGGAAATGGCTTACCAGATATAAGATCCAACTTAATAATATATCTTAATATTGGATATACTAATGGAAATAGTTTAAGTGTATATTTAATGATGTGAAGGCTTCTGAGTAAGTAGTGTGGAAGTTCATTTTGTCATTAAAATGTGTGAAAATTCTGTTTAATGCCTGCCACATCTTAGGACTCCATAAATATTTTTTCTTTTCCTAATTTCATAAAATTGAGTAACTAGTTTTTTTGAGAGAAAATAACATCAGTTTAGATTGTGAGTGGAGTTAGAGGAGAAATATAATGTAACAATCTGATATTTTAAATTTTAATCTGTTCAGACATGTACTTGGTTTATTTGTGGGTAGTTATTAACCTCATTTCAAAAAATTATTAGTTTATTTTGGTTTTGAGGATTGAACCCAGAAGCTTTCTACCTCTGAGCTACATCCAACCCCCATTTTTTGTTTGTTTTAAAATTTTATTTTGAGACAGAGTCTCAGTTGCCCAGGCTGGCATCAAACTTGGAATCCTCCTGCTTCTACCTCCCAAGTAGCTGAGATTATAGGTGTGCACCACTGTGCTTGGCATTAACTTCCTGAAATTAAATAAATGTATTGAGTATCTAGTGGAAGAGAATGTGGCAATTGGTGTCTTTTCAAATCTTGTTTTCTTAACAGCAAAATAGAAAATATAGTTTGCATCAGTGGTGTACAAAATCTAACAAGTTATATTTAACTAGTAGGCTTTCAAATTTGGGATTATAACTTTCATACCACACTCAAATACTCAGATGCAAACATAGCAGACATATTCTATGTCTCTGCATGGTTTACTTGAAAAATAGAAGCAGTTGCTTAACTGGATGACTATCAGAATGGTCAATGCAGATTGATGGGCTTGAGTGCAGTAGATAGTGGATATGCAGATGGTGGTGTCTGTATCATTTGACAGGAGATGGCTGAGTCTTTAAAATTATTTCAGTGGAATGGCTTTGGTGTTGTTGCAGTAAAGGGCATCCATTCAACCTCAGGTGCTGTACAGATGGCAAAGCTAAGCTAATATAGAAAAATGAGAAACAAGTGACTATTTAATGTACAGGAATGCATGATCTGCATCACAAATAAATGATGGTATTACATGCGGGAAACCTAGCCAGATGGCTGTACATTAAAACACATGACTCCTTGAGAGAATTAAGTACAGGCAATTTGCTCAGATTTTCTGCAGGCCTGATGCATATTATATTAGGGCAGGGAGAACAAGAGATTAAGTGCTTTATTTATTGAAAGTGTTTAGGTGAAGTTGGAAGTTATTTAAGCTTAATCTGTTCTCCATAAGTATTTAAATTGTCTCTTTGTGTGGGTGGGTAGAGGTGAGGAGGGACAGCTGGCTTTATAACAAAAGGATATAAGGAGCAAGATTTTTTGTTGAACCTGTGGACTACAGCTATCTTTTGGCCCACATGTTCCAGTTTTGTAAAGCTTTCCATTAGGCAGAAGTTTAAAATTTTTTGAGAACTACTAGTAAAAGTATTTATTTTTCAGTTTCAATGAAAATCAGCAGTGTCATATGGAAATTTTAAAGTGGGAGGAATTAATGTGTTGAGTCCTATGTACAATGGCACCATTTTGCTGTTCAAATGTTAACATTTTTGTTTTCCAGCTTAAAGAAAGTGGTTATTGTACAGGTCATGAACCAGATTCCCTGGAATTCAGCACTGTGGGAGGATGGATATCTACTCGGGCATCAGGCATGAAGAAGAATATCTATGGCAATATTGAGGACCTGGTGAATTTATTTCTGTTTATATAATTGATTAGCCTATAGGGATTATTATGAAGAGGTTCATCTTCATCAAAATATAGCTCTTTTGATTATAATGATGTGGTGTTTGTATGTGTGTATATGTACATATGTGTGTGTGTGTGTGTATATATATGAAATGATTAAAAGACATAATTGTAGTCATTATTTAAGAATGCCCTTGTCACATGATTAACACTTAAACTTTGTAGATATTTCACAGTATCCAACTTATGAAATACACAAATATTATTTAAAAGCCTTATGGAAACTCAAAGATTTTAGTCCATTTAAGTATTTCAGCATTGCTACTATGTTACTTTAGGAGATTTTAAATTTATTTTTCTGAAAAAATTTAAAATTTTTTCAAAAATTTAATTAAAGGGCTATTTGAAATTGTTCTGTTAAGTACTGATATGACCTGTAATGTTTAATGTGTTTACCATTTTGTTTTAGCTTATCTGGTGCCAATTTTCTGGGAGTCAGTGTGATAATAGTGTACCTGTAGGCATCCTAGTTAGGTATTAGGTATCATTTGTTTCATTGGTAGTTTTTCTAGTGATTAGTTATGTGATCTTATGCAAATTGGTTCACCATTCTAAACTTCAATTTTCCTTTCTATAAAATAGAATAATAAAATTCACTGCATAGAACTATTGTAAGGAGTAAAGGGCATGAAGGGAAAACACAGCAGAATCTCTGGTGTGCAATAGGTGCTTCATAAATATTAGTTCCTTTATCTTCAGTATTTTGAGAGTAGTTCAAAAGAACTTTTAAGAGGGTATTAAAGTGACACTCCTAACATTATTCCTGGACTTGTAAAGCTTTCTTTTTCAAATCTAAAGTTTCAACATTTTCAGTTGATGTGAATTTAAAATTTTTAATGAGATATATTTGTTCTTTGTAGTTAACACCCAGTAATTTAAGACTCTTGTCAGCTTATATTGTCAGCTCTTTAGAAACGTTTATATTATCCTGGTTTCTTCTCCCCCTCTCTCCCTTTCATTCTTTCTTTTTTTTCCCCGTTGAGGATACCCAGGGCCACATTCATGCTAGTAAGGGCTCTACTGCTGAGCCACACTCCAGCTTATGTGCCCTTGTTTGTTTTCTTTTATTGCAGACATTTTTAAAAATTACATTTTTCTTTTTTGTAACTAAAATAACTTTTTGTGTCTTGAATACTTTTTGTGTACAGTAGAATAATTCAATTGCAGGGGAGAATATTTAACTTTTTTTTTGCTATTAGATTACGAACTTTATCAGAGGTAGGCAAATACTTGATAAACTGTTAGATTTGGTACTGCCAAAGCATTTAATTTATTTTAGTCATTTTTTGGAGATAGTTAAGGGCCACAGATTATAAGTGTACATCCTAATGTACTTATCTGACAAGCAGTTACTAAGCACATTTTGTTTTTAATTTAATTGTTTTGCAACATCTTGTATCCTCTGAAACTATCTTAATTTTCATTGCTTTTTTGAAATCTCTACTAAAATTGATATATTTTTAATATCTGTGCCTGCACTGGAGCTCATGAAAAATATTACACTTTTTAGAAGTATTAACATTTCTTTAATCATTATTAGTGTATAAAGTATATTAAGTAATGATATTTTAACTTTGGAAAAAAGTTGAAAAGAGTTATTTGGTCTACCTTTTAATCTGAAGATTCAAAAGTCTTGAATACTTTTTTCTGTGTACAATAGAATAAACTTTTAACTTTAAATTTCCTGTCCCCCTTTGTTTCCAAGAACATTTTAAGGAATTCTAATTAAAGTTCAACTTGAGTTATCTTTTGATTTATTAGAAGTCTTTTCACCAAAGGATTTCCTAGCATTTTTGGTTACACTTTCTTACACTGATGCTATGGAGTTGAAGCTCATGATCTTTAACAATAATCCACTGCCACTGTAAAAGGTGTTCTGCTATACTTTTTCATTATAAAGTACTGTTAGAAGGAAAAGTAGAATCCTACAGTAATAAAATCAAACTAAAAATTCTGAATTTCACAAAAGTAAATAAAGTGTGACATAGTAAGCATTTAGTTTTTAAAAGTTTTCAGAAGAAAATCCTTCTTTTAAAATCATAACTATTATATGGATAATTTATGTAATTAGATAACAACTTGTTTTTATTTTAAGAATAATATATATACATATTATAAAAAATTACATGTTCTTTGTATATTAAATACATAGTCATTTCTAAGAATTTTAACATCTTTATATTTATTTTCCCAATTATTTTTCTAGGCATACCACAAACACATGAGTATATCTAGTTTTTAATATAAAAGGAATCATACTGTGTTTGATTTGTTCTTTAATTTTTGTTATCAGTGTATTAACATGAGTGAATGGAGGTGTACACCATCATTTAAAAAGGGTTCACATAATCTTTATGGATAATTCATGGTTTATTAAACAGTCTCCGTAATTATTCTTGATTTTAAAATTACAGAAAACTGATAAAAATATCCTCTAATGTAGTTTCTTGGGCATATTCCTTTGTTTTAGTAGGCTCCCTGAGGTTGAATTGTTGGATCAAGAAATTTATACATTTTTAAGTCTTTGAATCCTCCAGCCAAATTGCCATATAACATGTTTGTACTGATTGATAATTCCCACTAGCACTATGAGAATCTTTGTAGTTAACTGGGCCTTTTTGTTTATATTTTGTGTTTTAGTTTTGTGTGTGTGTGTGTATTTTTTTCTTTTTTTAATTGCCAGAGTGTAAACTTTGAAAATGTCTTCACTGGCACTTCTCATTTCTTATTTTGTGAATTGCTTATATGTCCTCTCATCATTTGCTTTAATAGTAAATAGATCATCGTTGTTTAGTGGTCAAAAATCCATTCTAAAAATGTGTTAGAGTTTTACCTCTTTCCAAATGAGATATTGAAACTGATTTTTAGAATGATCCTTCTTGCCCAAAATATTGACTTTCTTACCTATACAGTGCACTTACATATATCTCTTGCTTTTTCTCTTTAACTCAGTTCTGTCTCTTTAAATCTGTCTGTCTATTTTTGTGGTACTTGAGATCTAATCCAGAGCCTGGTGCATGCTAGGCAAATGCTCTACCACTGATCTATAAGCCCAGCCCCATCTTCATTTGACATGATCATAATTGATATTTCATTCTTTTTTTTTTTGTGGGGATAAGGCAAAAATATTATTTTTCTTAGAATTCCAAGCGTGTAGCACAGTACCTGACATGAGTAATAGTGTTTCATAAAATACGTTTAAATAGCCAGGTGTAATGGCATATGCCTGTGATCCCAGCAGTTTGAGAGTCTGAGGCAGGAGGATTGCAGGTTTGAGGCCAACCTGGGCAACTTAATGAGAAATAAAAAAATAAATAAAATATAAATATATAAAAAATATCATCACACATATACATGTATGTTATGTATACGTATAGCATATGTTATATACAATATATAGTGTATAATATATAACATAATATTATAATGTATATTATATGTATATATAATCATATACTATATGATATAATAATATATTACTATATATACGAAATTAATGAAAGAATGAGCCTGTTAAAGTAATATCTTCACTGTTGTTTGTTGTTTGAGTCCTTAGTTCTTTGTCATATGGATAACCTTGGACTAAATCTTTAATTAAAGAAGTATGTTTTTCTATTCTTAAGATGATGAATATATTTAAACCAGCTTAAATCAAGAGGCATATAATAATTTTAGGATTTTTCTCTCTTTTAGGTTATATACAAATTTTATCTTTAGTCTAAGAATTACTAAAAGATACTAAAGTCCTAAAGGGCATCACAATCTATTGCTTAGCCCCACATTTCTTTTTTTTTTAATATTTATTTTTTAGTTTTAGGTAGACACAATATCTTTATTTTACATTTATGTGGTGCTGAGGATCGAATCCAGTGCTTTGTGCGTGCTAGGCGAACATTCTACAACTGAGCCACAATCCCAGCCCCAGACCCACATTTTAAAAGTAGTATTTTATATGAATATGTAAAATGTGTATATATATATATATATATACACACACTAATTCAATGGCTGATTCCTAGAATTTACAAACTGTATTGTATTAAACAGGTGGTTCATATGAAAATGGTAACACCTAGAGGTGTAATAGAAAAAAGCTGTCAAGGACCTCGTATGTCAACAGGCCCTGATATCCATCACTTCATCATGGGATCTGAAGGTAAATATAACTGAAGATTTATTATGAAAAAAAATACAGGTGACTCAATTTTGTGAAAAATCTATGTTATTTGATATCAGATCTTTGAAAGAAAGACATTTTATATACTTAAGGAATAGTAATTTTTTTAAAGTTTTATTATTTTAGTATTTCATAAAGTTTTTATTATGAGAACATCGTATTTAACTTTCTTGTTCATTTTGCTTTTTTTCTGGAGACAGTGCATCTTTTTTAAATTACATTTTTTTCTTTCAGAATTTTTAATTAATTTTAGGAAAAGTAGGATGTAAAGTAGTTTAATATCGTGTACTGTACTGTTTAATATCTTTACAGTTGTCAGGGGAAAGAACTGTGAACATTATCTTGCTGTCTTATTTTTCTATAATTTTATCTTTTTTTTTTACTATTTGATTTTTAGAAGACCTGAAATTAAATTCTGATTCACATCTTTATTAGTGCATTATACATAATAATAGGGTTCATTTTGACATATTCATCAATGCATGTTACATAATTTTCTTCATTTCAGCCCCCAGTACTTTGAGTCACATATCTTTTAAACCTGTTGGTCATTAAATTTTGCAAGTAGTATCCTTAGCTGGTTACTTAATGTTGGATAGATTAGAATGTAGTTCTTTAGGTCATTCTAAATATGTAGTTGCTATATAGATTAGAAGAAAATTAACCTTTTCTTTATGTTTCACAGACTGTAAGTAGATACAGTGAATTGTATGGATAAGCTAAACATGACCATAATTTTCAGTTCTTTGAATGGGAGGCTTGGAGAATTCAGAAAAATAAGAATTTGGAGAAACAAAATAATCTAAAACAAGAAATTATTTCTAAATTTGATAAATTAAAACAAGAAAGTGTAAATTGGCAAAGGAACTCATTTACTTTAGAGGTGGTCCAAGTAGAAAAAGATTTTAAGCTATATTGAGAAATGGAACAAGTAGTTATAATGAATTAAGATGTTAGAAGATAGATTACAATCTTTGATGGTAACATCAAAGAGGAGAAAAATGACAAAGTCTAGCTTTGGTGTTATGATAAAGTGATATGATCTTTACCATATCTTTACCATATCACTAAAATTTGATAGACTCTTGTCCAAGGTGTTTTGCATGATAATCAATGAGACTTTTGTTGAGATTTCTCACCAGTTTACTTAGTTTATTCCATTTCTGATCAGAATAATCTTCTAGGAAAAAACAGCTACATTTTTAATGAGAAAAATAAAATATTAAGTTTCTTTAAAATAATATAGTTGTCAAATATTTTTCTGGAAATTCTTACATTAATGCATTATCTAAAAGTTAACTAAAAGAATGTAAATTTTGCTATTAGATTTCAAGGTAAATAAGAAATGGGTATTAAAATTCATATTTATTTACTTATTTATTTATTTGTTCAGATACTGGGAATTGGACTTAGGGGTGCTTTATCGTGAGCTACATCTCCAGTCCTTTTATTTTTTACTTTATAGACAGTGTCTTCCTAATTTGCCCAGGCTGGCCTGGAACTTGCAGTCCTCTTATTTCAGCTTCCCAAGTCACTGGTATTATAGCTGTATACCACTACTCTCCCCCTAAAATTCATAATTTTTAATTTTATTATTGATATATACATAGTTGGAATTGAATCTATAAAATATAAATTATCTTTTCAAGTAAACTCTTCAGTTGTTTTTCTCAGTGTTTTAAAAATTCTGCTTGTTAGGTACTGTGCTAGCACATTTAAGGGCACTTAAGTATAGGTCATTATTACACAACAGTGTGATAAATTCTATGATTAAAGTAATTGCAGGAGAAATACAGATCAGGTCAGGTTGATGGGTATTTGAAGGCTTCTCCCGAGAAGCCATACCTAAAGTGGTTGTTGAAGGTTGTTAGCAGAAAATAATTCCAGGTCAAATATAGAAAGATGGACAGTATTTACTCTTTAAAAAACAACATAGAGACAGACTGAGAAGTGAGAAAACCCCATGTCTGCTTCATCATGAAACTGCCAATTTTTCAGTATAAGTAGGACATAAGGTTTAATTGCTTGGTAGAGTAAACAGCAGGTTATAAGGGGACTGGAGAGAGATTTAAGGTAGGAAAACAGTAAAGTAAGTGAAGAAATCTTCTAGGAAGATTTTTATACCTATGGAAAATAGGTATAAATAGTTAAGTAAGATTTTATTATGAATATGTATTCAAAATAGCATACTGATTTAAGAGCATGAACCATGAAGTCTGTCAGATTTGGATTTCAATTCTAGTTTTATCACTTGTGTTTCTGGGACTTTGTTTAAATTAGGTAATTATCTGTGTCAAATGTCCTCAGCTGTAAAATGAAAATAATAAAAGCATCCCTCTTCATAAATTTGTTGTGAGAATTTAATGTGATTGTGCTCAGCAATTTATAACACCAAATGTTAAGTTTATTACTGTTATTCTGGCTGTTTATTATTTTGATATCATTGATCTTTACCATTTATGATTCCTAATCACTATTTCAGCTTATATGCAAATATAGCATTATTTTTAAATAGTTTAGGAGATGACATGACTGAGAAAATAATTTATGTACATCATGTTCTGTTGCAAAAAAAAAAAAATATATATATATATATATATATTTATTTATTTATTGGATAGCATGCCTTTATGGGGTTTTTTTTGTTGTTGTTGTTGTTTTTAATGCGGTGCTAAGGATTGAACCCAGTGCCTCACACATGGTAGACAAACACTCTGCCACTGAGCTATAACCTACACCCTGTAAACCATTTTATCTACTTAATTGTAGAGCAAACAATAAATAAATAAAGACCATTTCCTGAGTTCTGGTATAAGTTATAGCTATAACCTATACCCTGTAAAATGTATTTTTATGTGCTGTTTTGAACTGCATATATAATAACCTTATATCTTAAATGTGATAATAAACCTTTCCTGAAGGTTAAAAATATTTTTTTCTTTTTCTTTTCCGTAATTAAATTATTTGATGACAACCTTGAATTTTTATTTTGTACCTGGGATTGAACCTAGGGGCACTTAACCACTGAGACACATCCCAGCCCTTTTTATTTTCTTTTGAGTTGGGGTCTTGCTAAGTTGCTGAGGGCCTCATTAAGTTGATGAGGCTGACTTTGAACTTGCAATGCTCCTGCCTCAGGCTCCTGAGCTGCTGGCATTACAGGTGTGTGCCATTGCACCTGGTAATCCTAAATTTTACATATGCCTAATAACCTGAAGTATAATATGTTTGTCTTGTTTTGTGTTGTAAATTTTTCATGTTTTCTTCCAATAAGGAGTTTTCTTCTATTTTAGGTGCTCTAACATATGAGTATAATGCAAATTATAATAAATATTCAAAGCATTATAAATGCTTTGCATTCTTTTCCTAACCATAGGATTTACTAATAATTTAACTTTCTTTTATTTGAAAGACAAAGTGTAATTTTGTTTTTTAACCTACTGATAATGCTTTTGTTTTAATGTTTGCTCTACAATTAAGTAGATAAAAATCGCTTATATCAATCCTTTTTTAAAGATTCACTAGTCATGTTTTAATTAAATAAAGATCATCCTTGGGTGTATTTCTCAGGAAAGGCACTTTGACCATTCCCTGAGTTCTGGAATGTTCTAAACTGGTTTTCTGTGACTTTGATACTAAGGACGGCTTGAATGGATACGTCTTTGGGTCATCCTTTCTCTAACTTTCTTGAAAATGCAGCTCCCCTATTATATTAATTTTATTTATTGTTTTTAAAAAATGATACCAGTCTATTTCTCTTGCTTTTCATAGGTTGTTTTCTCTTTTTACCTGGAGGCCCAGGATTTTTTTTTTCTTTGTCATTATACTCTTAGAGTTTAAGTTGATTGGTTGGGTTATTTGCTGTAGTAGTATCTAGTAGACCTTTCCAATGTATAGACTCACGTCTTTTATTTCTAGCCAATTTTTTTGGATTGTAACGTTAAATATTTTTTTTTTTAAATTTCTATTTAAAAAATAAAGGTATTTTGGGGGGGCTGACAGTGTGGGGACTCACTTGCCTAGCATGTGTGAGGCACTGGGTTCGATACTCAGCACCACATTTAAAAAAAAAGTGTTTTATTATTTTGATTTTTATTCTTTAGGGACGCCCATTATATATATGTTTGAATTCTTTTGCTTATTTTCCAATTCACCCACTTTTTCTCTGATTTCTTTATTCTAGTGTCATTCGTTGGCTATTTTTCTGCTTTTTAAAAATACCCTTTAGTAAGTTTTCATTGAAGTGTATCTCCTATTCAGTTACCTTATAATTTAACCGTCATTTTTTAGGTGCTTTTTAAAATTGTTAAATTTTAAATTTTAAATTGCTGTATTTCTTTCCCAAATTTGATGGTTGGTTTTATTTCTCCTAGGGTTTTTTAAATTTGTTTTTAATTTTTGTGTTTCTAATTCTCTGATTGTGTTTATTATTCCCAGTAGCTTGTTTGGCAATATTTAATTCCTTTTGAATTGTTGTATTGCACTTCTTCTCAAGATCATGATTGGTTTGTGGAATGGGATTTTTTTTCTGCATACTGTTATTTGTATTTTCTGACTTTTTTGCAGTATTTCTTTTTTTTTTTTTTTGTACCGGGAATTGAACTTAGGGGCACTCAACCACTGAGCCACATCCCCAGCCCTATTTTTTAAATTTTATTTAGAGACAAAGTCTCACTGGGTTGCTTAGTGCCTTACTAAATTGCTGAGGCTGGCTTTGAACTCATGATCCTCCTAAGCCTCCGGATCTGCTGGGACTACAGGTGTGCATCATTGCCCCCAGCTGCAGTATTTTTTTTTTTTTTAATCTTTTTGCTCTGTTTTTTTTCTATTCATATTTATTACTTTAAATGGGTTTCTAGTATGGTAGTGTTTTTTTCCCCATGTTCTGTCCTCTTTTGTGCTGTTTGTTTTTTGTGGTAGTTTTATTGAGGCAAAGGATGGCTGTCTTTTCCCATTCTTTTTCTTTACTGCCTTGTATC